CCAGCATATGAAGTTGGAACTTCAGCACATCAAACGCCACGATCTCCTTTCCTCTTAGCAGCAGCTCTTCAGTTCTTCCGCTTCACTCCGCTTCCCTCCGCCTTGCTCCAGGAAGCCACTGCTGGGCTACTTTGGGGAGCCGCTGCTGTTGTCCGTGGAGGCCTCCGTGCGACAGCAGTGGTTCCAGCAGTTTCACCAGATGGCCACGGATCCCCAGAGCTTCTTCGCATGCGTCTCGGCAGACCACGGATCAACACGACCTCCCCTGTCCGTGGTGACAGGTTGGAGCCAATGAGTTCCATGCTGTGGGAGGTTGGAGCTGAGAACAGGTGTCATACTGCGGAGTTGGTTTGGAATGTGCAGCGCGCCCAGTTCAAAGGTGCGTGCGTTGAAACCAGCATTCTTTTTCCCAATGGGGGGACACAACGCATTTAGGATGCACATCAACGCTTCCATCAAAAACAACAGAACTGTTAGCTACAAAGCTACAAGCAAGACTTGTTTCTTCACATTTACTCCGCAAATCTTACACTAGAACTGTTCCTAGAAACCAATAAGCATGAGGGTAATATATGGAAACCACATAACACATAAGTGCAAGATAGTGCAAGCTGAGTCGCTCATGTATTGAAGGAGAACGAAGGAGGCTTCCCCAACGCCCGGCCTTTGATGCAGCCGAAACATCAACGTGTTCCATGTAGACATCGAGGCTACAACCCCTTCTTGTCCTCGATGATCGAGTATCAGACGGGCCTTCAGCTGCCCACGATCCGGCTCCATGGGCTCTACACCCAAGTGCGCCACCGAGACGTGTGGGCAGATGCCACACGAGGGAAGCAGCTGCTGGTGCTGAAGGGGCCCAATATTTGCTTGGACTCAGCCACTGGGAGGGAACTGGCGAGGGAGTGCCCGGTAGTAGGTCTGTGTCCAAAGGTGCTTGGGTGAAGACCCTTTGGGGGGGTTGTGCAGCCTTGAGGGAATTCAGGGATCTCGCATTTGGTTATATTCAAGGTTATAGAGGTTGATCTGAAGGAAGGGATCCCTGGCAGGGATCCGGGGCAGGGACATTCAAGAAACGCTCTTGTACAGATTGTTTATCAATTTTGTGGTTTGGAGGTTCAATCTAAGAGGAGCCCATCATGGATGGACTCGCATGCACCATTGATGGCCTCAGGCTCAGGTGCTTGACCTGAATCCAAAGGGTTGAGCGAGCCGCTGTGGGGTTGAGGGGCCATGGGATGTTGCAACGATTTGGGGTTGGCTGGGGGTGCTTTGGCAGAATCAGGTGGGTGATGGATCGTCAGATTGGGAAACACTTGAAACAGCAGCCTTCATTGGATTCTATTTGATTCATCCGTTTCAAGCCATGTCTGCTGAAAAGAACTGAGGATCTGATGTGAACTCCAATAATTCCAGAAGCATCGTACGTTTTCCAATTTATTTTATTACCACCTTCCAGGCTGTGTCGCCTCAGGTGTGCTTGCTGAACCGCTTTTCAGAGAACTTGTCGTCGAAGCACCAGTTCGTAGGGCTGGACGAGTTGGGCGGTGCGCCCTATGAGAACCTCGGCGTTTCCGGTTTGGCTGGGTCCTGGGTATGGCAGTGAACATGTCGTAGGGGCCCCTGCAGGGGAACCAATCAAGTACATCTGGGATGTTTATGATGTTCCTTTTTTTCCCACAGTGGTTTGGCTACTCATATGGCCCATTTCATTTTCAATCCCCCTCCCCCCAAAAAGGACGCAGGCCCACCCAGCCACGCTGAAACGGTGCTTTCGCTGTGCCACGTGATGCTCTCTCTGCACGCCGGCGGAAACGACCCCGGTTCACATGACCGTCGGTTTGCTGCAGGACCTTGGCTTCCTTCCGTGCCGCGGTGCTCTACCCCTACGACGTGGCGCTGGCCATCTTCTACGTGGCCTGGACCAAAAAGACGCAAGTCTCGGGGCTGGGGAGAAATTCTTCAAGTTCGATGGGGGTCTCTAGTGGTGTAGGCAAAACGACTACTTATCTTGAGCAAGATGCTACATAATTACTCTGGTGAAATAAAGATAGGTAAAACACATTCCTTGAACTCGGGCCACCTACGAATCTGGATTGGTTGTTTTCATGGTCTTGGAACTGTTTAAAAAGCAAAGATCGAGTAGAATCCGTTGCCCACAGATCAAGCGAGAATCTGTCACCCGAATCACCGAACAACGAACATGAATTGTATCATATTGTACCCAGGTAGTTGCTCAGCAGCATTTGAATCGAAGAAAGACTTCTGCAACCAACCACGTGCACAAGTGTTTTGATTTCCCCTGCCCTATGGGATTCGGGTTCAACGATTTTCACATGAGGTCGCTGCCTTTTACATTGGACACTGAGAAATTGAGATTGATGTGGGTTTCAGAGACCGTGTTCCTCTCCTGAAAGCAAGAACAAGGCGTCTTTGCTGTTTTTGCGATATATTCCATGCGAAGCCTTATTAGTGGTGGCCTACCAAACCCAACTATCTTTAAAGACACGGCTCAGGAGCTCTACACCATGTCCATGCCATTGCTCCTGCCCAGCGAGCGTTTGCTATCCTTCTACGTCTTTCGGGGACTGCACAGCAACGCCGAGTACCACTTCGTTTGGGATGAGCACCAGGCAGGAACGTCGCGTGCTTTGGTGCGTCAAACCAGTGGAAGACACTTCAGATCTGCAATTTTTGGCAAAGGACCTTGGATTTCATCATTTTTGACAAAGACAAACACATCTTCCTCCATCACCCACCCAGAAATAATACAAACAAGGCAAAATGATGCTCCTCAAACAACACCACCCTCTCTCGCCCGGACCCTCCCACCTTCAAACCCACGCTGCGCCCCGGTCCCGATTCGAGCCCCGCTGTACCGCGGACCGCGGACCGCGTACCGCGTACCGCTCGCTTTCTTTGAGGCTTCGGCCTCCGCGTGGATGGCTCCCTTCGTGCCGGCCATGGAGCCGTCGAAGTGGTTCGCGCGCGCGGCGCCCTGGAGCCTACGCACCGACTTCGCCCAGTTCCCCCACCTGCTGCGTCACGCGGACGCGATCGAACGCGTGAAGGCGGCAGCGGCACGGAAGAGGGAGCTGTTGAGTTGCGCGGGGGTGTATTTATGTGGTCGGTGTTATTGGTTGTTGTGTTATAAGTTTAACATGATCATGTGATATATATATGACAAACATATATATATATAACTTTTACAATTGTGTAATACACCTGTTGAATGCGGGGGGGGGGAAGATGGTGGTGTCTAAGTGTTGCAGAGCTGTGGGTCATTTCGGTCATGGGCGTGCAACGATCGAGTTCCAACAGAGACGAAGCACTGAATCGTGCAATCAGTCGACCTCTACGGACCTTTTTTGTGACCTCTATTTTGGAGGATCAACTATCCAACATATGGTCTTTTGCAAACAAAACAAAGGTCACTCAGGCTCTAGGTATATTATAGATGAACTTCAGGAAGCAAATCTGAATGAGTCGTGTGATGAAGACCTGGCTCTATTATAGAAGAAATATGCGGCATAATCATATTCTGGTCATTTCTAGTCTGAATATTCCTCCAATATCCGTGGCGTGGACTCAGTAATTTGGTCCGATATGTGGCATTGCACCTGTTTTGGCATTGCACCCGATGTTTCACATGCAAACATGAAGCAGCAACGGTCGACATTTGTGGGATTGATGTGTTTCACACCTCACAGCAAGAGAAGGAGGAATTCCAAGTTGGGAAAAGTGTTGGAGTATCACATACTGTCGGATAATATCCCCAATAAAAGTTCAAACATTATTCAAGCCCACATTGTACCATCAGTTAGCACATATAGAGTAGATGATGTTCTTTTGTCCTCCCAGAAAGTTACCACCGAGGTTTCAGCAGTGTGGCCGAGCTCTTTGAGCGTTTGGAGAGCTCTGACTGGGCAGAGGCGACTGGGCAGATCCATGGAGACGCAGTAAAAGAGCGAGCAGAAAAGCCTAATATCTTTAAGCATTGGACATGAGTGAACACGCATTTCTTCGTGAAACGGTGTCATTGCTTCAGCACCATGTACTGGTAGAAGAAACCCGACAGAATCAGAGGTTCCGGGCTGACGATCTGTCCCGGTCTCACATCAGCGACCGGTCACATTGGGGGTCAGCAGAAATCCTGCTCAAACACTTCCCAGACACCACGAGTCTGGGACGGATTGAAAGGGGGTTTGTCTGGGGTGGCAGTCCGGACTGCCAGTCCTCGTGTCCGAGCGGACCCGTCCGCGACACCTCCGTGGTGCTCCGCGGCCGTGCTCCAGGTGTCCCGGCAGATGAGCCGCTTCAACGAAGAAACCTTGGCACAGTCCGCCGCCTGGTGGGCCTACGCCACGGCGAAGGTCTTGGCCCGCTGAGGTCCGCCCCGCCATCGACACCATGGACCTTGGGCGGCGGCCAAAAGGTCGGCGAAAGGGGCCGAAACTGAGCCGCGTGCGGTCAAATCTGCAGAGTGAAGGTGTAGTAGAAACTCTAGGAGTTTTTGAGTGATTCATGTTGTTTCATGACGTCTTCCACGAAGGATGTTCACCTGGCCTTGGACCTTGGATGCATCTTTCTTGAAGGAGGTTTGATCAGACGTGGTCAGGGTTTCTCCGGGGTACCACTAAAACCCGTATATAACCATCTCATACCATCTCCAAAGCGACCGAACGCCCGCCCGAAAGCATGACTTGCTTGTTGACCTGGACCTCCCAAACCTCACCTCTCTCACCGTGACTCTCCCCGCATCACAGGACTCTCAGATCACAGCAACAGATTCTACACACAGAAAGGGTGGCTACAGAAGATCCTCAATGGGGAACGTCCCAAGCAGCAGAGGAGACGTCCCAAGCAGCAGAGGAGACGACCCAATTTGTTCAGTAGCATGTTCATGTTCATGTTGGTCAACCGGTCGGCCCCCTAGTTCATGTTCGGTGGTCAACCATTTCCCACTTCTGGATCACATGGTTTGGTGACCGGGAGCCAAGGTAACTTCGGCATGTCGGAGGAGAAGGCGGGCGGACCCAAGCATGGCGGACCCAGCTGCGGCCGATGGATACCATCGAAAACGGTTCTTTTTTTGTGGGTGGATTATGTGGATTGGTTAAGAGTCAGGCCCTGAGCATGGATGACTTGCTGGAACCTTGAGTGTGGCTCCGCAGTGCTTTCATCAATCGGAAACACCAGGCACCAATAATGTATGCCATCAATGCTCTTGTCATTGTAAGCCTTTTTGAGGCTTCCAACCGCCATTAATTATTGAATGGCCTTTACCGAGCCGAATAACCACAAACAACAATTCTTTTTCGAATCATTTTACACAACACAAGGTTGGCAAACCGGTCTCTTAAAAGGAAGGCTAGGGTATATGGTTTCAGTATGGAGTCAGCATGGAGTAGCTTGGAACCTCATCAAGAGCACTTGGAGATTCCGATTTCCTGACGTTCCGCATGGGGATGTAGAAGACGAGTTGGTTCCCCCAAAATTGGGGGGCAGGACCTGGTCTCACCAGTCATATGGGAAAACGGGACCTGCGGACCTTCGGACATGAAAAACCACTTCCTAAGCGAAGGGATCCATATGCTTCTTTTCCCGAATCCATTTCGTTTAAACCATGTGCACTTGACCAGTCCAGACACTCCATGCATTTCATCGTTCGGTTTTGAAGGTGAAAACTCAAGGGTCAACAACGGATTCATGGGGTCAACAACGGATTCATGGGGAATCATGCGAGCTTTCCTCCTTTTTTCGAACTCCGAACGCCCGACATCACGGGAGGATGCCATGCTCATCGTCTACGGCGGCGCGCTGTGGGCGCCCGAAGACCTCAGTCGTCCGAGTGGCGCGGGTGTTGGGGAGCTGAAGAATGGGAGGCTTCCATGGTTTTTGTTGGCGCAATTTCCACCAGAGAACGCTATTGGGGTTCTGTGCGCTTTGGAGCCTGAGTGCAGGTGCCGCTGCAGGGTAACGCTCCAGGGTGCTTTTGCGAGATGTCCATGGCCGTGTGTGCTTTGGAGCTGGGGTGCTGGTGCCGCAGCAGCGTGCCGCTGCAGGGTGCTCTTGCTGCCCACACTTTCTTTTTGCTATCAGGCTATAGGGGTTCTAACTTCTCAATGGTGTGGCTCTGGATGGGCGTTTTGGTTTTGCCGCTGCTGCTGCCGTGCTGGTGCTGGCTCCTCGGGATCGGCGTTTCGCTTTGCGTCATGCCAGGGATGACACCATGTCATGCCAGGGAAATGACATCATGTCATGCGAGGGATGGCATCATGTCATGCCAGGAAAATGACATCATGTCATGCCAAGGATGGCATCATGTCATGCCAGGGAAATGACATCATCTCATGTCAGGATGGCATCATGTAATGCCAGGGATGACATCATGTCATGCCAGGGATGACATCATGTTATGCCATGTGTGGCATCATGCGATGCCAGAAATGATTTCATGTCATTCCAGGGATGACATCATGTCACGCCCAGGGATGACATCATGTCATGCCAGGGATGACATCATGTCTTGCCAGGGATGGCATCATTTCTTGCCTGGTGGCATGATGTCATGCCAGGGATGTTTCGTTTTGCCTCATGCCAGGGATGACACCATGGCATGTCCAGAATGACATCATGTTATGCCAGGGATGACATCATGTCGCCTGGGATGGCATCATGTTATGCCAGGGGTGACAGACATCATGTCATGCCAGGGCATGTCGCGCCCAGAATGACATCATGTCATGCGCATGTCAGGGATGGCATCAGTGACATGATGTCATGCCAGGGGCAAGATCAAGGACATGCTGTCATATTGTCATATTGTGCATGACAGCGTGTTGCGCAGCAATTCATCATGACGTTTGGGCAGCTTTGGCTGGTCCTTGCCGATCTTGCAGTGTTTTGCGTCTGTGTTGGGCAAAGCGGGCGCAGTCAGCTGATAGATGTTGCGCATATTGATCATATATTGGTGGATGGTCCTTCGAACCTGCCGGTGTAGTTCAATACGGAACAACTACACGTTACGTTACACAAGTTCTGATGTAGGTACTACCAACGATATACTCAGTTGTCATTGCTCTCACAGTGCTGGAGCACAGCTGTATGTGGCTGTGATGCTAAACGTTCGACGCACGTTTTCTGCAGTTTTTGGCTTCCACTCATGCGATTCGACTCCAGTCAACACGCACTTGCTAAGGCTGCTAAGGACTCTTCAACACATCAACCACTCAACAGCCCAAAGTTTATTCTTTCATTTGCTTGGTGTATACAGCCAGCCAGGTTCCATACCTAGCAGCCAGCGGTAGCGATCACTTGCCCGAGTCCCTATTGAGAGGGGCGTAGAGCTTCCTCCACATGCCAACCAGCAACGCACGACGGCCCCAGCCCGCACCATGTAGGACCGAGGGCAACCCGAACATGTCGATGATAGAAGTGACGTAGAGCCAGCCAACAGCTAAAAGCAGTACTATCAAAAACAAGGTCAGGGACGTTTATGGGCACTCATTTGAGCAAAAGGTTCAAAGAGGTGTTTTGGTTTGGATCACCGACGCCGACATGGGCAACAACATCGTGTGAAACAATCCGTAACGCTGTCTGTCACAACGGGGCGCGCTCTACGCACTATGCCATCTCGTCCAAAACTGACAGCGGTTGTGAAATCCGACAGTAATGATCGAGATCGTTGCTGAATGAGCTGCGAATTCAGTAGCCCCGTTCAAGTATGCAGTCCGCGTCATCTCAGGTCAGCTCAAAGCAGTTGGAAGCGAATTAGAGGCACAGCTCAGCCGACTCCATGGTGACCCCTCAAAAACTCGCCAGTGCCACAGCCTCAACACCTAGATGCCACAAGCGTGACAGTTGCCTACAGAACCTCAGTTGCACTCTTTAGATACCAGCGTAGCTTTAAGCTGCGTGCTGACAAGATCCAAGTGTTGCGTTGGAATCCCCGAGCAGATGGTCGTCCAAGCATCAACAGCCAAGGACCTTCAAAGTGACTTCTTTGCAGTGTCAAAAAGTGACCTTTTCTGGGCCTAAGTGACTTCATCCTGGGATATCAAAAGGTCCTGGAGCGCAATAGATCGGATTGCAAACATTTTTCCAGCCCCGTAATCCCAAGGCTGGCGAACTACTTGGTGCTGCCTCTGGTGAAGTTGTTGGGCATCGGTTTGGGTTTTTCGTGCGGGGCCAAGTGAAGGCGCTGATCAGCCATGGGTTCCCTCCACTCTTCCACTCCCCCTATCTTGCGGAATGTTGTGGCTCTGAATGAGGAGTTGCGCTTGAAGCGACCGCTGGAGAACCAAATAAAAATTGTCACTGGAACGTGGGTGGCCACCCCCCGCACCCACACGATCCTACAGATGACGCCCACCATGCCATGGTAGGTCCATGCACATTCTTCGGGTTTTGGTCCATGCAGCAATTCGAGGCTTTACCACTTCGTGAACTTGGTCGTTGGCTATGCTGGGGAACCTGAGCTGCGGAAACGGAGATGAGATGCTCCACGAGCCTGATTTGTTTTGGCAAAATGCTTGGTGAACGGTGGACAACTCGGAGACATTCTTGGAACCTTCGAGTGATGTCCACCCTGAAGTTCTCACCACATCGTGTCTCGACAAACGATGTTTAGAAAGTCATTGCATCAGCCACTTGAGATGACAGAAACACCACCTCAACAAATTTATCATTTTCATCACGGGTTGGTCCAAGAACACATAGGCATAGCGAACACTAGCATGGACCCTGAGAGCGGCGCCGGCACCCTCAAAGACTGTGTTCCTCTACAAACCAGTGGTTTTCAGGGTCTATGTTAGTTTTCAGTGGGGTAGGCATATCGGACAATTGTTCGTTTCCAATCCAACTCGCTGGACCAGGTATGGATATACATATAGTTATTAAAGGCTTACGCCTAACAGCCGGGCGCCGGCCCACTTGGGTCTGTGGGGCGTATGTCACGCTTATGTTGGCCTTGGTGGGGCCTATATTGAGCAAAGTTAAGCTATCTGGCGCGCATCTTCGCCCTAGGTTGGGCCAAGTTGGGCCCATGTGGTCTATGTTGGGCACATCTTGGGCCCATGTGGAGCCTATGTTGGCCTATGTTAGGCGTATGTTGGCCTATGTTTGGGCCTATGTTGGGCCTATGTTGGCGTATGTTGGCCCCATGTTGGCCTATGTTGGCTCTATGTTGAGCCATCTTGGAGGCTATGTTGGGCATATGTTGGGGATATGTTGGCTATCTTGGGCCTATGTTGGGGATATGTTAGGCAATTTATGTTGAAAAAATCTTCCGATACAACTTTTTACGGTTTTTCCTTCCCGCAAAGCAAAAACCATGAAAAAACCGAGGTTTTTCGACATCGCCAAGATGAAATTCTCGGCTGCCGAGGGGCCCGAAACCCTGTAAAACACAGTGTTTTTTATACCTCACACACACACACGATACACTGTAAATTACAGGGGCATCAGTTGACAGGAAGTGACCTGGGGGTCCCCCCGTTTTGGGACCGAGGGTCGGCGGCGCCCAGGGCCAGCGTCTATAACCTTCGGTTACCACGGAAGGCCCTCCGGGCAGGGCACGGGCTTCGTGGCCGGCGCCCGGATTGTAAGGGCTCCGCCCGGGTGCCGCCGACCCCTTTTCATCTCGAGGGTTTGGCGGTTGAACCTTGACAACTTCCTGGGATTCAACAGCGAGACTTGGATGGGCTTCACACCAATGCTGGCATTCAACCAGCTGCCGAGAAGAGGGCAAGGCTGCGGTGAGGCTCTGGGGAGCGTTTGAAGCCGAGCCAAAATGCCTAACGTTGCCTTCGGAAGCCCATAAGAAGAGAGGAGGCAGGCTTCAGACAGGCCACAGAGAGGCCGCAAGAGGCCTGCCGGCTGCCGAGAGGCTTTTGAAGCCGGTCCAAACAAAATGCCTAACGTTGCCTTCGGAAGCCCATAAGAAGAGAGGAGGCAGGCTTCGGACAGGCCACAGAGAGGCCGCAAGAGGCCTGCCGGCTGCCGAGAGGCTTTTGAAGCCGGTCCAAAATGCCTAACGTCGCTTTCGGAAGCCCATAAGAAGAGAAGAGGCAGGCCTGCCAGCTGCCGAGAAGAGGGCAAGGCTGCGGTGAGGCTCTGGGGAGCGTTTGAAGCCGAGCCAAAATGCCTAACGTTGCCTTCGGAAGCCCATAAGAAGAGAAGAGGCAGGCCTGCCAGCTGCCGAGAAGAGGGCAAGGCTGCGGTGAAGCAAGCCGAGCCAAAATGCCTAACGTTGCCTTCGGAAGCCCATAAGAAGAGAGGAGGCAGGCTTCGGACAGGCCACAGAGAGGCCGCAAGAGGCCTGCCGGCTGCCGAGAGGCTTTTGAAGCCGGTCCAAAATGCCTAACGTTGCCTTCGGAAGCCCATAAGAAGAGAGGAGGCAGGCTTCGGACAGGCCACAGAGAGGCCGCAATGAGGCCTGCCGGCTGCCGAGAAGCTTCGGACAGGCCACAGAGAGGCCGCAAGAGGCCGAAAAGCTTTTGAAGGCGGTCCAAAATGCCTAAACGTCGCCTTCGGAAGCCTGCCGAGAAGAGGGCAAGGCTGCGGTGAGGCTCTGGGGAGCGTTTGAAGCCGAGCCAAAATGCCTAACGTTGCCTTCGGAAGCCCATAAGAAGAGAGGAGGCAGGCTTCGGACAGGCCACAGAGAGGCCGCAAGAGGCCTGCCGGCTGCCGAGAAGCTTCGGTAAACGTCGCTTTGGGAAGCCGATAAGAAGAGAGGAGGCAGGCTTCGGACAGGCCACAGAGAGGCCGCAACAGGCCGGCCAGCTGGTGAGGCCTCGGACAGGCCTTTGGAAGTGCTTGGAAGGGTTCTGCTAGGCTTGGCCAACTGCTGCATCCTGCGCCTTTGGAAGTGCTTGAAGGGTTCTGCTAGGCTTGGCCAACTGCTTCACCCTGCGGTGTCCCAGGCGCCTCCCCGCCTAGGCTTTGGCTATAGGCCGGGGTCGGCGGATATTCTGCAGTTCGATGCTTGCCCAGCTATGCCTTGCTATTGGATGGAACCCACTGGTTGAAATCTAGCTAGTCTTCCACTGAACTGCACTAATTTTTTCTACTAGAAAAGGCTCTTTGGAACCTCGACTCATGAAGTCACTCCCACAAGGAGCCATTTGCTACAGGGCGGACCTCCCCTTCAGACCCTTCTGCAGGGCATCGGCCGGTTTGGTATCTTCAACATGGAGAAGTTGACCGGAAATGTGGAGGCCACGGGTCGTTGGATGACGGCCTTTTCTCAGCCACGGTCGTGGGAGTCCAGACGAGCAGACGAGCACGAAGCCTTTCGGCAGAATGGGTGGGCTAAGTTCGCGGGGGATTCACGTCCGATGGCGGGTCGATGCAGGGCGGAGGTCCTCACGCTCGGGGGACGCTCGAGGGGTGCAAATCGTCCGCGCGTTTGCAGATCTGCGACATTGGCTGCTGCCTCGCCACTTGGTGACCCGGAGGAGGAGAGAGGAGTGACCCGCCCCTCCTAAGAAGCAGACATGGCGGACCTCCATAAGGGGTGTCTATTTATAGCCCCTTAGCTGTTAAGGGGTGTCTATTAACCATCCCTCGGCGTCCTGGTAGTAGGTAGTCCTTGCGAACATGAATCAACATGGACATCTGCAGCCCAAGCAGATCTTTTCAAAACCGCTGGGAGGGGGAAAGGAACTTTGAAAGCTCATGACCTTGCTCGGTGACCGATCTCGTTCACACTCCGACTCGACCGACGCAAAGACGGCGTCGACCGACGCGTCGGTGACGAGCGACGCGTGGTGAACTGAACTCGTGTGCCGATGGATGAGTTCGGGTGAACTCGTGTGGATGGTCAACCATACGAAGTGTTTTGGGTGCTGAAGGACTTGTGACTCGCTTCTCTTGAGACCTAAAACAGGACAAACCCTTCTCCAACCCCTTCGAATCCGTGTAACATGTCGAATCATGTCGACACCTAAGTTGCGGTCAGATTTCCACACCTGAAAGCCTTATAAGATCTTACAAGTAATATAAACTTAAACGGGTGTGGAAATCTGACCGTGCTGTACCTGCCAGGCAAAATGGACGGGTCAATCCGATCCGCTGTAGAACGCAAGTGTCATGTTGGAACAGAGTAAGAAGCGTAAACTTTAGGGTTCTTGAAGTATCCCAGACGCGACCTGTCTGGTACTGGCATATAGGACTGCCGAGAAACGGCCAGGGGTGGTGCCAGGGGGGTCTGGCTTGATCGGCAGTCCTATGGCAGTCCCAGACAGGTCGCGTCATGTGTCGCGTTTTGGAGGTGGAGGCGGAGCCATGCATGGAGCCATGCATTGGTGCACACTCGACCGGTCTAACAAGTTCCTTTCACGTTCTCCAAAGAGGCTGGCCGCCACCCTACCAGAGTTCAAGATGTTCAACAAGTGTTGCATTTTTTTGACAAAGCACATGATAGCGGCTATTGGTTAAGAGCCGTAGAGATGTCCAACTAACGAAAAGGCCTTGAATTCTTCAAGTGCCGATGTTCACCAGGGCCACAGGTGTGACTGTGACTAGTCTTCACCCAACCCCTCTAAGCCACAATTTGGGGTGAAACCACCACGATTCACTGACGATGAAGCTGCGAAATTCAGCTGATGCAGTGCTATCAGCCAGTTGTTTTGCTTGGGACCTGCAGAACAAAAGCCTTCCCGAGGCCTCCCAAGGCCTTCCAGGATTCCATTTGGTCGACCAACTGGGGGAACGAGCCGGGTCTATTGAGTGGGTCGTCTGGTCATGTTCCCCACAGGAATCATAAAATTTCAAACCAAACGCAGGACGACCCGGTAGAGTGCGTAGAGCTTTTCTTCCGCAGGTCCAATTCAGGTCCAATCTAGGCCCTAGGCTCATGACCAGGCTGACACGGCCGGAAGGTCATGGGTGTCAAGGCCTCTGGGGGGGTCCCCATGCTTGGTAGAATTCCTGGTCGATCCAGAAGCGATTTTCGCAACAGAGAGGCAACACCTACAGGTCCAGTCTGATTTCCGGATGAGCTGTTGAACATCCAGGTCTTGGTCTCCTTTGTCATCATGGTCTTCGTCGAGGAAGCGGGCGACAAACAGCAGGACCTGTCCGACCGGCAAGGCCTGGCGGAGTCCACCCAAGACGAGCTGACGGAGGGTGGACGTTCAGAGCAGCAGAGCAACCAGGCGAGGCGGAGGGGCGAGGAACGGAACGCGGGTGGAAGGAGGGCGAGGAATGGGGGAGGAATCCTACTCGGAATGGCCTCCAAGCTACTAGGAATGGCTTCCAACCTACTAGTGGGTAGAAGCTGCTGGGGTAGGAAAAGGGGGCCCATGATTTCCTTGTGACTGCTTTTGGGCTGTTAGAGTTTTGGAAGCTAGGATGCTGAGTGGCTTGTTGGGCGCCATGTCGGCGTAGGAAGCTTCGATTGAACGTTTCCTTCAGCTTGCTCCAAGGTTGCCGGCACCCGAAGCCTGATGAAGCAGGGAATCATCCTTACAGGGGATCATCCTGCTTTAGTGAGCCATGATCAGTGTCTGATCATCCAGACATCCCTATCCCTGGTTCTCCCCAAAGTATGAACGCACTTCAGGGCGGTGTCAGTGTGATTGACCGCAATCTGATCGTTACTTGGAGTGTTTGTATTGACCCAACTCGAGTCGTTTGGAACCAACCATGGGACATGACATCAAAGATCGATCTCGCCAGTCATCATGTTCTGTTCAGTCCTTGGATTGTCGCATCTTCTTCCTCACTCTTCCTTTTCCGAACCTCCAATCGCTGCGAACCGATGGGTTCAGTTCATCTGGATTTGGAGAATGGGGATATGCATGGATATGCTGATATGCTCTCCTCAAAGACCCGCAATCCGAACCTCGAACGTCGCCTGAATTCGCCCGAACTTGGTGCGCGCCGGAGGACTTCCGAGAAAAGTACACGCGCTGGCGCGAAGATCACGTCGCTTGCCAGGATCGTGCGCTGGTGGGAGTGTACACTCCAGGAGAATGGTCATCCATTCAGGGACATCCAACTCTGATCGGTTCATTGCTTATTCGATTGCTTTAGATGCGTTTGGCACGCCATCATGAAAATTCCGCAGATCAAGTCTAGTGTACCTTATACCGTACCAGTTCGGTTTGACTATGGGGAGGCCACCCAAGCCACCCAAGATCATCACGAGACGGGTCGTTCCGGTCCTTCGTTCTCGGGTCCACCGCGGCACCGGCGCCGCGCTCGGCTCGGCTCTCAGGTGGCCCCCGCGCGGCGGCACTCGGTGATCGAGGCCGCTGGTACCGTACTGGTCTCGTGCGCACCGGGAGATGGGGGGGGCGGGAGTACCGTGGCCGAGGAGGGGTGGTGGAGGGTGAGGAGGGGGGAGGGTGAGGGGTGGAGTCGTGCCGTTTCAGGGGGGTTTCGTTTCAACCAAGTGGGGCTAAGCGCTCGGTGCACGTGCGTGACCCGCCCCCAACCACGTTGGAGTCCCAGTCTCGCATGATGCGAGGTATTCCACCGGTGAGACAGGCGGCCAATTGAAGTCCGTGGGCGGCTTCTCAGTCGCCCAGCCGCCACGGCTGGTGGCGCACAGGCGCGGAGATGAGGGAAGACTCGGAAGACTATTTCTTTTTCACGTACTGGGGCGCACACAAGGGCTTGTGTCCAACACTCATTGCACATCATTGCACGCCTGGATGCCTGAAGGTTGCTTGTATACGGGTCTTCCCATATTGCCATGTTGGTTTCAGATTCCCGTGTGCAGGAAACACGGGAGCCTCAATATGGCACCCAGGGTCAAAGGAGCAACCTAGAAACACTCATGACTCATGCAGCCATGCGTGACATCATGACTTGAGATATGTTGATCTTTACCAGGCACGTCCAAGGCACGACGAGACGTTTTTTTTTTTCTGGGTCAAGCACGACAGGATTCAACACACACCAACTCATGAGTTGCTTGGATCATCTCCAATCACTTCCAAAGAGACACTTGAGGAGGTTTGAGGTCGAACGGCCAGGTGGTGGTGATGAGATTTCTATTTTTTTTCGAGAACGGCCACAAGCCAGTTCCATTGGAGTTCCTGGCATCATGGAGGACCTTCTTCAGAACTGAGACGGCCCATGGTGCGGTGCCCCCTTAATCTTCCACTTCCATCACTGGTCCAAGGGTAGCAAGTAGAGAACTCCCCCCAAACTCCTCCAGATGGGTCTAGTGCTGGAAGACCTCCCGAGCCTTTTGGGCATCTCCAGCCGGAGCCTCCAGCATCCTCCAGCATCCAACCGCCTCGCTGTCCGGCTGCCGCGCGCGCTCGCTCCGCGCGCGCGCGCGTGCGCGCGCGGGCGCGCTAGAGGTCCGAGGAGCCGAGCTCCGAGGCGATGCCCAGTGATCTGGAGGCGGCAGGCCCGGGGGGGGGCTGAAGATGGTGCAGAAAGGAGAGAAGCCTTTTCCGTGTTTTGTTCGCCACCATGGGCCGCCAGTATACTAAAGATAGATAAAGGATGTAGTAAGGAGTTGCAGGCCCCATTCGATCCGAATTGTGGCATCCCTTAGCTAAACGACCCTCCTTCTCGTAAACCAAGATTTTTTCAAGTGGTGGTGCGCGGCGCATGGGACCATCTATGGAACCATTTGACATCTTTCAGCTTTGATTGATTTCGATCGCCTTTTCACCATTTCACCTGACCGGTCTGACCGGCGCCGCCAGTTCACGCCAGGCGACTTAGAGGTCCGGCCGCTTGGTATCTTTGGGAATTTGGACACTGGAAGTGGGATCAATGTAGAAAAACGTAGAAAGGATCGCTCAAGTCGATCTAACTCCTTTGGAATGATTGAGAAACCACAGATTTGGCAAGGTATGGCCAGTCCTATCTATCTCTTGGCAAGGTATGGCAAGTTTCTTTTTTGGGGGTTTTGGAACTACTTGGAGCACCCTTTAGAACTATTTCTATAGAGTGTAATGATTAAAGTGTGATTCCGAGCTTTAACTTGGAACTGTATCTTGGGTTTGGTTGGCCTGATGAAGAAAGCGATGGTTTGGTAATTGGTTCAAGTTTCTTTGACTGGGCAGGGACATGTCATGGCCAAAAACACACCAATGCAAGATGCAAGATTTGTCCATAGGCAGATGAGTAGATCGCAGGGGAAAAGTCTCTTTCGCAGCACTTTAGTTCACTTGGGCTCAACCATTCGACGCTCTGCTGAAACGATGTCGAGACATCAATATCCATTTAAGGAGCTGTTTTGCGACAACGAACCCCGTGTGACAGTCGTAGCGCCTGGTGAGCTGCTTCGCCAGCATCAAAAGAAATACTTCTTGTTTGGAGACAAATCCGCATTGGTCCGGTTTGAATCTCTCTCTGTCAGTTCCACTTGCAACATTTGTGTACAGCGGATCGATATAGGTTTTGATGACGATGGGGATGCGGGTGACGATGATGATGAGGATGAGGATGAGGATGACGATGAGGATGATGATGATGATGATGATGATGATGATGATGAGGATGACGATGATGATGATGATGATGATGATGATCATGATTATGATTATGATTATGATGCTGCTGCTGCTGATGATGGCGACGATGCTGATGATGATGACGATGCTGATGCTGCTGCTGCTGCTGCTGCTGCTGATGATGATGATGATGATGATGATGATGATGATGATGATGATGATGA